TGTCTGCAGGATATTTGCACGTAACCGTTTACATATATTGTAGTGACAGAGGATTTGAGTTTTAAGTTACAGAAATTTGCTGATCTTCATCGTATGTAAGGATTTTCTTCTCTTCCGTTAGGAAATACATAAAATCTAGTGCGAGAAACGTCCCCATACGTGTCGACTTTCGAAATGACACATTTGCGCAGGGAAATTTCAGACACTTTATGCACATTTTAATGCGTACAAACACGCTTTTCGCAGAAATCGCAGTATGTATTCGCATGAGAGTACAACATATTGGTTCTGATTGAACCACGACTCGGTTCAACTGCTTTGCGCCATGCTGGACAAGCACGAGGCAGATGAAAACGTGAATACAACAAAATGAAGAGAGATTGTAGCTAGCAGTGCGGATTGGATGACAAAAATAACAGACAGGGCTTTCACTTTTGACATGTGTAGTGGTGAACACACCTATTGTAAACGCATATACGCATAAATCAACTCGCGCGCGATATCATCTCACAATGGGAATGCAATTTCATTTAACCCTCAATTTAATAAGTCGATTAAAAAAGTCAAGTATTGATTGAAAAACGATAATAATCTGGACAGAGAAAAAGAACTATTATTAATTTTAGAATTTACAAAATCGATATTCTCAAACATACAGGAAGTATCGTAGGGAAGAATTTCATTCGACAATTTTGACATATTTTTTTATTTGGAATCATCGTTCCTCCTGTCAGTTATGGAATGTTATGTAGATCGAATTTGAAATATCCTGAATGTCTAAATTTACTTTGCGTTCCATATTTTTTTCGTGGTAGGAAATGGTACACGATAACGCAATTAAAAGAACAACGCACGCGAATAAAATAATAAAAGACTTCCGCATACGAAGAGATGAAACGGTGGACAATATTTTACAACCGATACTTGTCGAATACTCGTGACTGCGACATAAAAAAATTGGCCGAGCGATTTTGAGATTCAGAATCGACTATAAGTGCAATTGCGGAGCTGTAATCAAGTCCGGATGGGATGCATTGATTGACAATTTTTCGTCCCCTACTCTTGATCAATCTTCTGTATTGCCCGCCACGTGTGTACTACGAATATCGTTTCTAAATCAGTCTCCAAATTGATGATCACGATAATTTAGGGTAAGGCCATTAATTATGGATCACTCTTAAAAGAATTCATATTTTTATCCAGAACAATACCGAACAATTAATAAAATATTTAATAGTTATAATTAAGTTATCATAAAAAAGATTATATTATGGATAATTTTATTTTATTTTGATATCATTTTATATGTTTCGTACTGTTTTAATTTTAATTAAATAAAATAATGACAATTAGGCACAATTAGACACAATTTATTAATTACGGATCAATTCACCAAATGCTTATATGTTTTGGATTTAATTTCAACTGAACTTGATATTGATTTTTATGAATCAGGAAATCTAGTGCTACTTATTACCTTCTATAAAAATCACAAGACAATTCTTATACTTTGAATAAATTTTTAAAGATACATATAATTTTTAAAGATACTTTAGTTTATCTTTTACGTTTTATTAATTAATGACATCAATAAAATGTACAGCGTTATTGCTAATAAGTAAAAAACAACTGACACTTAAAAAAGATAAAACAAATACTAAAAAATCTTGTGATATGCATCATTTGATGGAAAATACTGTAATTATTTAAATATAATATATGATCCGGAACTAATGCCTAATTCGTATTTAGCACTATATTTATACATTTCCTACAATTCGTAAATGCACGTATTTAGGAGAGAAAATATTATATAACTTTTCTTGAATTAAACTATATCATTGTAGATTAAATTATTGTACAAATAAGTCTTTCCTTTCCCGAAAAGATGGATTATGGCTGTTAATTGAAGAGTTTTGTGATAGGAGATATCGGTTGTCACATATGTATGCTGGATTAAAAAGTTGAGGTATCGGTGTAAATGATTACCAATTAACAATCGGATAGGTCGTTTGCACCGACAGGCGAATTGGCAAATGGATCTGGTCTGGACGCGTCTTTAATAGAATCAAGAATCAATTGCGAGAAAGAAAGGGAAAGAGAAAGAAAAAAAAGGAAATATATGAGCTATGCCATTCATAAATTGGAATATTTTCCAGTATTCATCACGACCTCGCTTTCTATTTGTTTGGATCTTTATATTCTAGAGAGTGTGATCGGAATGAATATGTCATCGATTGCTCTTTTGATATATGTAGCAAAAGGAAAAAGATGATGCGTTCTTTAATTAATTGATATTGATATCATTTACGATTAATTTTTGAATGGACAGTTATATATCGCATGCCTGTAACATCTATATATTATTTTCTTGCGTTCATTGTTTTACAAATTGACGACGACCCCGTTTCAACCTCTCGAACTTTGCTATCTTAAGCAGACAACTGCGCATTTCGCCAACAATGGCGAGCAACAATGGGTGGTCAGATTAAAATGCAAATTAGTCCATAAGTCAGGACATTATAATTGTTAGTTATGCCAACTGACGGTTATTGTCATGGCAATAAACTTTCAAGATTTAGATGTCAGAGAGCGGTATCCAAGTGGTATATGCTTGTACTTAAAAGATTACTTACATACCTGCATACAGATCCCTCGAATTGTAAACGTCGCCTCTTTCGCGATCGCTCTCAATCTGTTGAATTATATCTATTTCAATTCGCAAAAAGAGTTTCAATCAATTGAAAATATATCGTTATCCAACTGCAAAAGTTTTAAGATAAATATTACGCTAGATATTTATCTACATATGTTATTTTTATGCTGATTTTTGTTTTGAGATAAAAATGTCCTAGTTTATTTAGGTCTTGATTAATTCTACAGAGCGAATATTTACAATTAATACTGCGCAGGCAATTTAAACGTTATCTCACGGAAATACGGAAGCTTTAACATTCATCTTTTTTCTTTCGAAAGAGGAAAAAGGGCTTAGGGCCACCTGTCTCATTCGACTCGTGCGGGTCCATTTATCGTGCGTATTACTACTCGTGAGTAATTAACATAAAAGGGTTAATTTGAGAGCGTTGTAGACATAAATCACGACAATAATCGGGTTTTTTGTAAAAGAAATAATTTATATTAAAATAATTTATATTAAAAAATAACAAACAAACGCAAAAGGAATTTTGAAAGAATTTTAAAAAAAATTCTCGTTAGTCAATTCATTTTTTATGTAAGCCTAATTCAAATATATTTCCCGATATCGAAGATAATATATATGAATTCTTTAATATATTAATGTAACTTTTTTAATTACGCAGAAGCTTTTATCGCAATAAAGTTATACGATATTACGGAACAGTAAAAAAATGTGCACACAATTAAAGTAGTATTACATAATTCTTCAATAAATTACGTAATCAAATACGTTCATCGATGTTACGTTACAAAAAAATACTCAATAATAACGTTGTTTAATAAAAATGACTTTCTTAAATATAAGAACGAGGATAATAATAATCGTTTTTTGTAAATTTTTGATCGCAATCTCAGTTACCAAATTATTGTATCACAATTTTGAGAAATTTGCGATTAAAATTGTAAGAAAGAGCTATTTTGGCATGCGATATATTATGATTATGATAAAATGTAATGTAAAATAAGATATGTAATGTGTTAAAGAAGATTTGATTGTAATCAATATTAAGTATGTTATTGTTAGGACTTTTTCAATCCTTAAAAGGAATTTGTTGTGATTATAATTTTATAATTAAAAAGATATTTAAACTTATATATATATATAAGATTTATTGCATCAAAGATATGAATTATATATAAGTCATTAAGAATCTACCAAATATATATATATTTTAATATTAAATTTTTTTTATGTCATTCAAATTATTTAATCGTTTTCTATATTGCTGAATGCTTATCTGATGTAAAAGTTGATAAATTCAATTTAATTTGTATGAAAAATTTCTCTATATGTAAACTATCCCAACAATTCAAATTTTATTTTTTGCTTTCGATATTTGCTATATTGATTTCGCCATTCTTTTTATATCAGATTTGACATTAGATTAATGTTTAGTGACTTGAAATATCTATATAACTTTAAACAAATAAAATAAAATAAATAAATAATATAAAAGATATGTTTGATAGATTTTTAATGACATATTTTAACTTTGTGAATTATGTATTAATCATAAATATATTTTTAACTATAATCGATGAAATAACTTTCTTTTAAGAATTGAAAATCCTAATAACAATTTACTTTTATTGCAATAAAACGTCTGCAACACATCATATATCATATATCACATATTACAGCATACACACACACACACACACACACACACACACACACACACACACACACACACACATATTATAGTTATAGAATGTCAAACTATACTAAAACTCTTTATTGTGACTTTGCACATTTTTCTCAAATTGAGATGTGATGTAGCAATGTATATAAAATTGTAATTATCGCCTTCATGTTGTCACGTTGGTACAGTGATGCTGATATCTATATATACATACATATTTTCTGAAGAGATTAAAGGTTAATATGTCGATATTTCTGATATATCAACAGTTATGTATTTATCACTTATAGTTCCCGAGTTAATTGCTAAAGATATAAGCATTCTTGTTTATCAAGAAATGCTTCCGTGTTTAAAACTCTTAATACGCTATTAATTTTACAACAACATAATCTTTTGCATATTGAATTGATTTACATCTTGAATTTCGTTAAAATATATAACGTAATTATCTCATATACACAGATCTCCAAGAGATTCTGAAGGATGTTCTGAGAACGTTCCCAGAAAGAGCTCTGGAATAAAGTGTGCTGTATAGAACATATTTACATACATCTTGATAATAATATTCTATGATTTTGCATAGAAGAAACAATTCTACTACGGCACTGTAATGACACAAATATTATCGTGTAGTGTTAACAAGTTTCAGTTTCGATTACACTTTGCAACTCGACAAATCAAACATTTTATATATCTCATTTCTCAACTTAAATATTGGACATGCAATCGTTGTATATTATAATTGCATTACGTACGTATACATATAGGCAGAAGTTTACTTTAGAATAAAATATATTTTATTCTAAATATATTTTATTAATTTTTCACACATATAAACACACGTAAACATAAAGAACTCTCGGATATAAATATTGTATATACATAAGAATAATTGAATAACAATAATTATAATAATAAAAAGTCTTGTAATAAGTCCTGTAATAAAAAGTCTTATAACAAGAAGAAATAATTTCTTATGTTGTAATAATTATTGCATGTTCGCAGTGGCTATTTTCGCGATGGATTTCGAGAGTGCAGCCGCGTGCAATTGCGAGCACTGTGATGAGGAAGGAGTGATCGGTTTGAAAGTGAAGACGACTACTACTCAGGCCATGTACCAAGAGGACCGTGATAATGATGGTAATCGAACAATTTGCGCCAGGAATCGCGAGTTTAAAGATCGCACGTTCCAAAGCGTCTGTTATATGTTATGTTACAATCGTTGCACGAAATACCGAATGGTGGCAGTTAAAAAGAACGATACAAAGAAGTATGTTACAATTGCATACAGACCGAGTAAGTTATAACTCACTATTTTCCATATTTCAAATTTTATAATCTGAAGATTGTAGAATGTGTAGTTATTACAATCTGATATTAGGCCATTAAATTTTGAAAAATTATGTTGTTATTAATAGCTATACAATTTTTATGTAGATTATTATAAATTAAGAGATGGCGCGTGCTGAAAGAGGGAATTGTTCTTTTCTACGAATGGTAATTGAAAAGCTGTACAATCACTATAGGAGTTTGAAGTAATTTGCAAAAGTAATTTTGCAAAAGTTCAAATTGTTTCTATTAATATGCGAAAACTGTGTATAGTACATATTCTAGTAATTTTATCAATTATCCTCAACAATTTATTTCGAATGTACTGTTTCTGATGTAACTTAAAACTGTTAAATATATTTTTTGAAGTGTCCATTTATATATATATTATACATACATAACGAATGTTTTGTTTTTCTGTAATCATAATTCGATGACTTGAAATATTATAAAAACATAAGAAAAAAATATTAAAAGTAATTTCTCACAGAGATTACTTTGAGAAAGCCTTATTTTTAGCGTAAGGTTCTTTTTATTGTACTTTACAATTTCTAATGAATATCTTGGATGCATAAGTTTTTAATAACCGAGAGCACGGTGTAAATACTATTTTGCCATTTATAGTGTAGATCATTTTATAATTTGTAATAGAACTTTGATTTAATGTTTATATATCATACATTCTAATGCAAGTATCTATCAGTGTGTGTGTGTTGGCTTCCTGTATATGGTCCAGGATGTTATCAATTTTTTTGTAATAAGAACATTCAAAGAAGGGAATGCCATCCATTCTCTTCTATATCCATGGTAAACCGGATCCTTGGATATTGATTGTTGAGGAAGTTTAAGAGTTTATAAAGTTTCTAACTATCGTGTTTCCAGATTATGAATGTATTGTCTACATAATGGAACCAAACCTCTGATTTGCTGGGTGTCTTGCGAAGAACTTCTTTCTTAAAGTACTCCATAAAGATGTTTGCGATTACAGAAGAGATGTATGGGAGAATCCATAATCGCCCCAGAAGTCTGTTCGTAGAATTGATCGTTGTAGGAAAAGTGATTGTTAGACGTTGCTCAATTGAAAGGATGATATTATTAGGAACTTTATGTGTGACTTAATTATAATCAGAATTTCTTTGATATCTTCATGAGAAGTGATTCTACATTAAAGCTCACCAATATGTCTTCAGGGTGAAAACGGATTTTTTGTATTTTTTGTGCAAAATTCATTGAATTTA